TGAAACACGTTGCAATGAAGTCTAGTTGTGTGTCGAGGAAAAATATTGTTCAAAACATGCTTTTGTGATTAGCATGCCGGCCGAATTCTAGCTTCATCTACAGTGGACAATTGTTGCACAATTTGCATACGGATCAGTTCTCTCAACGGACCATTTATCATTACTCGGATGCGTCGAGCGTAGTTGGTTTGAGATGGGAGCGATGCATGTACTGTGGAGATACAGACTGTTTTGTGTAATCTTACTCGATTACTTGTACGCGTGCAAATAGTGGAAATCAATGAAGGCCAGTGGTAGCGAATTTATAACATGATCATCTGCTACCTGTGGGGAGGGAAATCACTATTTCCACGGATTGAACCTGCACCTTAACAAGGTAGCTCTAAGCCGAGTTGTTTGTAAAACTGAGCCAAAACCGTACTGCAAGCCTATGTATTGACTACAACTCCGTTGATAAATATGGGAACAATGTTTGGCAAAATGATCAGCAATGAGGTTATTCATAACTTGAAGGACAGCACCCCGTGTTGCGTAAAGAGATCTTCGGGTTAATCCCGTTCCCTCGAATGATTCCGCAGTAGTGTTTCAGCAAGTGGGGGGTTTCCGCCTAATAAGCGTTCCTCCAATTAAAAGAGACAAATTTCGGATTATTAACATTGTGACATGGCGGATGTGATTCCACTACATCAAGGCACGGCCACTTGGGGATCCGGAGGATTTCATTCGCTACACGGGTGTCATTCAACAAATACGAAGAGTCCCTTTCACTTCATCCCACCTGAATGAACACAATCACGACAACGGTGTCATGTCTACGGATTCAAGCGACACAACTACACAACCTCCTAACAACATACATGCATTTGCACACCATACTGAACCACTATGCTACGGCTAAGCACGCAACCTTTTTGTGCCTCTACAGATCATTCGTGTTGGTATTAATATAGTTTCCGCCAAGTGAGCGGCTGTATAGAACATATATTCACTTTGCTGCAGGTGCTAGAGCAGCGCCACACATACCGCAGGTCTATAATAGCTCTTTTGCTTGATTTCAAGAGCGCGTTCGATTCAGTCGATCGATCGATTCTCTTCGAAATACTTGCGACGAAATGTGCTCCCAGGATTTATGTGAACATCCTTCGTGCCCTGTACTCAAACACTACAGGCTGCGTCAAGGCCTAAGGTGACCTGTCGGATAGCTTTCCGACCGCAATTGGCGTACGTGAGGTCTGTCTGATTTCCCGCACTTTTGTTCAATTTCATCATAGATTCTATCATCGAGTGTTATCTTGCAGAATCTCAACATGTAGGCGTTGAAGGGACACTAGTGAAAGATTATTTGATCTTGATTATGCGGACAATATATTCTTGCTTTCCGACGAGCTTACGGGGACACAATCAATTCTTAATAGTATGTCTATGGTGGAGCCATTATTTGGTACGCACTTCGCACCTTCAAAGTGCAAAGTGTTGTTGCAGGACCACCAGCCACTCTCTAACCCTTTGATCCTTGCTAACGAGGAACTCGAGGTGGTTGATCAATTCACTTATCTTACCAGCTGCATCAACAACGATGGGCGCATGGAAACTGACGTCAGCTCACGCATTGCAAAAGTCCGAGCTGCCTTCTTGAACCTGCGGCATCTTTAGCGACAGAAGGGCCGTGTACACAAGGCCACAGTGAGAGCTATTCTGCTGTATAGTAGTGAGACTTGGCCCCCTCCGTCTGAAGATCTGAGGCGCCTTCAATTCATTGATCGTCATTGTCTGCGAAACATTGCTGGTGTCGGATGGCACCAGCTTGTCCGCAACAATGATATCCGTGGGCGAGTACTAGGTGGTGATAGTCATGTTAGCTCCCTAGAACAACGGATAGCACGGAATACGTTGCGTTGGCTCGGGCACGTGCTACGTATGCCTGGTCACCGCTTACCTAGGAGGGCCTTGTTTAGTCTGCCAGGTGTAGGGTGGCGCAGGGCTCTTGGTGGACAGAAGTTGATTGGAAACGGGAAAGGAAGATCCTGACGACCAAACTGGGGTCTGTTTGTCCGTTTCATCTTCAGGGGTGAAGTCTAGCTGACTCGCGATGTGCTTGGCGCGAAACTTTAAAGGACATGGCTCGCAACCGACACCAGTGGCATGTCTGGTGCCAACTCTTGATCGGACTGCCTGTTTAAAGTGTACTTGGTGCTGATTTATCTGCGGGAAAATGGCTGATTATGAAGTGGGGCAGTGAAAGCCGCAAGGAGGCTGTCTCGCCGATACCGCCTTATCTGTGCACGATAGCCAGCAGTTTGTGACAGTAAGTTGTTTACACAAGGTGTAGGCGCCTTGACCCCGAATGTTTGCTTTGGGCATTAAGGTTTCCAGGTAAGTCCCCCTTCTCTCCTTTTTATTATTCTTTCTTTCATAGGTCCTCATGTTTGTGTGGCGGCGAAGCATCAGTTCACATGGCTGATGTACTGCAGCTGTTGTTGTTGTTGATGATGATGGTGTTGATGATGATAATATGATTACACCTATAAAGAGTTGTGTCAAATTTTTGAGAATATGCCATTTATTTATTCTTTCGTTCAATTACTACCACTGCATACCAAGTGCACGAGGTTTTGTTCCCAATTCGAAATCAAGGGTTTCCAGTTGGGCTATAGAAATGGTTTCCTGTTTGTTCGTGCTATTCTTGTGCATCTCTGGAATGTGCTGGTGTGGTTAGACATGGAAAGGTTGTGCGTAATAAACTGGCAATGTTTTCATGTCAGCGGCATATTTCTTGCAATACATATAACAACGATCTTAAGTTTATATTATCAGAGCATTTGCGGTGTAAATGGGTTTGATACAATAAGTTTCTATATGGAATTAAACCAAGGCATGGAATAGTTACATCAACCACTTACTAGTATGCCAAAATCAAATAATAGCTCCTTGAGTTAACAAAGCAAAGGATCAGAAAATACAGTCAACAAACCTATGTCAGGATCCATATGGTTTATCTGGTGAAATTTCAAACTATAAAAAGACGGGCAACTTAATAGGTTGTCTATGTAGAGGTACGCAATTTTGCAAGTTTTAATAACCATTCGTGTTTTACTTCTACAGAAAGAGATGCAATATTGCAACAATTCTGTATTGCGGGTAAAAATGCCAAAGCTTAACAAGTTTCTAGGATGGCCAGAATGAGAACCACAAAATGGTGAAAAGGAAACTAAATTGAAAAATTGGAAACCCTTTTGACGAACTCACCACGGTGTTCACACAGAGACATGCAGGAACGAGCCAACCTCATTTGCGGAGATCAGTGCAGATGGTGCAGCGTTCGACACATTACATTTTTTGAGGATGCACTCGGGATATCTCTCGAAATGTAGGTGGATTAGGCAACGTTAAGGCGTTTGCGAACCCAGATAAGGCTGCAGTGGAGACAAGGTAATTTCGTAGGGCCTCCCATCTTTGGCACACGCGAAGAGAGGAAATGTTTTGCCGACATTCTAGTAGACTTTATTGTGTGGCCACATTCAGCTGGTAGCCCTTGGAATTCGTGTTGTCACTGAGTTGCTGAAGGTGGAGTAGACGGTGTTGGGATTCCTAAAAATCTTGCAGGCCACTATTAAGTCACGACAAAAGCACCGATACTGATCGTCGTATGGTATTTGATTCTTCAGCCAAAGTTAACATGAAATGCGAAACAATACTTTGACTTGCTTTGTGGCTCATTGCTGCGGAGTCCCGAGTGTTGCCATATAGTATTTGTGCCTGTGCTGCCAGTCTTGTTCCATATAAGGTTGCACGTACCTTGTAAGCAAGTGCGAACAAATAGAGAATTCAAAACATCCGAATGCCATCCACAGCATACAAATGTGTTGGTTCCCAGTCTTTGACACCCTGTTGGATTGTTCTGAGCAGCTCAACTAAGCTTGAATTAATACCCCAAGGCCGTGCTCCCTGGTGGCTCTTACAGGACATGGTCCTCAAGCTTATATTAGATATTCGGCGGGTGACAAATGCGGACCACCATGCTTTTAGACAAATGAAACTGTAACAGCTTGTAGAGTGACTATATGTGATGTCCAGTTATCGTTGAAGTGTATTGTGTTTCTCCTGGTTAGATATCCGCCGCCAGATCGCAATAATATCACCGAACAAAAAGGAATTCGAGGCAATTAGACGCGTAGGCGCATTAATGAACACCAGAAGCAGACTGGGGCCCAGCACTCATCCTTGTGTAACTTCACGTTCGACATTAATCTGAACGGAAAGCGCACATTTAACTCTAATCTGAATTCATCAAATCTGCAGTAAAATTCCTGCTGCACTCAAGGACAAGATCTCTCACGCCATTGCTTTCAAAACCGTGAAGCAGAATAAGGCGATCCAGCCGCTCGAAGGCTTTGGAGAAGTCGATGTAACATACATCGGCCCCCCAAACTTTATCGACCGTTTCCGTCCAACTACTGCGTGCAATCAATAGGTTGTTTGTGCACGAACCGTTTTGGAGTAAACTAAGTTTTTCAGTTGCTATAATGTTGTAACGTTCTAGCGGGTCGACGAAAATCTCAGCGAGTATCACATCCATCACATTTGCAAGGACAGGGAGAAGGACCACCTTTGAAAATTTCCTTTTTAGGACATGTTTCCACATGGCAGGCACAATTTACTAGTGACCTAGTAAAGTTCATAACGTTACTATCCTTATTGAGATTTGTTATATTCAGAGGTTAAACTGAATGTTAGCAAGAATCCCCCACTAAGTTGCTTGGTATGGTGCGTGTTGATGGAGCAAGCAGTGCCCAACTTCGCCATTCAGACCGAACTTGATTACGGACCATTCCAGGAATATGCACTGGTAGCGAATCCTTCTACCTTTCGTACAAATTGTGGTTCATATCAATTTGTGGAGAAATTCACTGAGGTTATGACGGTCGAGTATTTGATTACTTCACTTTAGCTGCAATTATTGAAATAGTTGACAAATGCTACCGGCGAATGGCAGCTTCCAAATGGATCGGTTTCCGCTCGGTCTTAAATTGCTCACATCCGGTTGCGCTACTACAGAGGTCAGATAGAATATAAATACCACTGCTCCTCTGATCTCAACCTTTTCTTCAAAGCTTACGTTCTTGCAAAAGTAAGTAGAAAATGTTGCAACATTTGCAAGCAGAATTATATATGCACACTTAATTTTATGGTTTACTTATTTCTAAAACTTAATTTTGATCGTGCCAAATATATTTGACTGTATCACACCAGCATTTCCTTCATCTTGTGCTGTTTAGGAAAGGATGTAGCTGAGTGTGAAAAAAAGTTCGTTTATGTAGACATTAGTTGTGATGTGTTATGTGATGTGTTATGTGATGTTCCCCTATCTGGAACAGTGATTCGCCATAGGATCTAAAAAAAAGAAAGCAATGGTTTATAAGTTCCAAAAACGCTAATACAGCAAGAAATACGAATGCCGGTTTGTGCTCATGAAACGAAAACGAGCAGTTATCGCATCAAACATCTCTCCTAGAAATATATCCAGTCCATGCTTAACAATGTTTTGTGATCGAGAAATGCAACTTTTTCGTTTGTGCAAGAGAACAGCGGTTATTTAATTCAACTTATTAGACAATATTTCATAGATTTTGATTGTCCACACATAGTTGTCATCATATCAATATTGTTAACTCACGAGAATACTTGATTAATGAAGCTGGTAATCGGCTTCTTTAACCTGAATGTTTGCTCTTAAACAAATCGATTTAAAGCGCAATACCGGACGGTAAAAATAAATCGACTGTGGACAAGGGAGGCAATGATATATTTGCCGACTACTTTGGGATCAGCAGCGTAGAACTGGTTAACCTGAATATTGAATACTGAAAATGGCAAGCTAGAATAACCCACCTGTGCTGCTCCATCGATATCTTTTCGGGAACGCAAACGGAATAGCGTCATTTATTATAGTGCACCGTAAACACAGTTAGGACAAAAGGTGCCCTATTCATGTGCGATGCGCTCACGTTTCTGTAATCTACAAAGTAGGCAACCAGTAATATCTTGAATTATGTTCTTGATTTGGATCTACTAATACCTCAGGCAAACTGTTCCAATAATTCACCACTGTACACTCGATACATAGTTTCCCGGTTCAGGTCCCGTGTGACAAACTTTACCGGTGTCCAAGAACATTGAATTTTCAACGCACTTACAATGAGCGCTAAATTGATAACAGTGGAAAAAGTGATTTCTTGACAGGTCCCGTCGGACGGCCGGAGTGGCAATTATAAGATGATTGCTTAAAACAACAGAAAAATGGGAAATTTCTGATTTGAGTTGACTCAAGACTTATTCATCTTAACACGCGCTTATCTGCTGGCCGCTCCATAACAGAGAGGGATGGTGAGCACGTTGCTAGCATTAATCCCTCTTTCTTTGGAAACAGAATATGTAGCGTAATGTAACTGGGAGTGTGGTACAATCGTTACTTTAAAAACAAAAATAACCTGATAATGAAAAGCATTCCACGCTCTGGAAAACTGAAGGGTGAAAAATGTGTCGGCAGTCACATCGACTGGGGTGAGTGGTCTGTTTTTAGCTGGTGGACTTTCAGTTTGATATTATGGCTAAATGGTAACAGATCGCAACAGCGGGATTTAGGTTAGTCAGTATTTAGAACACAATAGTACGGTCTCTTCGTAGCCGCCGGTGTTCACCGCTGTGCAAGCCTAGAGCTTGCAGTCTTTGTTTTTAGGAGAGGTGCGACATTCATCTAACGATTTTTGTCGCCTTCTGATATGGATCTTCGAACGCATCGGCATCGTGTTTGTAAAGGCATTGCCACGACTGGATTGCACATTCCACGTGGATCCTCACAAAGTAGTACACTAATTGTGGAGTATGGTCAGCATAAAATGCTAACGTAGATGATATATACCTGCTCCATTATCTCTGCTTGGTAGTTTTCTGAGGTAAAAGCTGGCATCACTTGTTGAATTGCTTAAACGCTTAACAAGCTAACCCTTATAATCTTTGAGTTCCGAGGACCTAGATGTCATTGTCAACATTCCCATTTTGAGTATTTTGTGTCGGCTTTTCATTATATTATCATTCATAATTTGTTAGCAAATACTACACAAATATTTGCTTGGAGTTTGGAGCAAGCGAAAATGTAAATACTGTGAGTGTCACAAAACTCCATTGTCAAATCAGGATAAGATATTTACAGCCATAGGGAAATATTTGTAACAATTTGCACTAGCACTGCGGATAATCTACGGCATGGCATCAATGACGGTCTCGCAGAATTTTTTCAACATTGGTTATGGATCGACTAACAAAGAGTCCGTTGTGATGAGATTGAGTCACAATACAACTAGGTACACGATTACAATGTATAAATCTAGACGCATGGAAGAGGTAGTTACCGTGCTGTCTAGAACAGCGTGCATGGATGCCAAAGGTCAGTTAAAATTTTTTATAGGTTTATTCGTACGTAAAAATGCTTGCTAACGGCAAAATCAACAAGGAACCTACAGTTTACTTTACTCATGAGTAGGGGTTTTGATGTAAATAAATGAATTTTTCACGGCAGCAATCAAGTTGGATAGTGCTTCAATTGCCTGGAGAAACGCTAGACGGCAGTTTTGATCTATAGGGGATGGTCAAGAATGCGCATCTATCGACTCCATCTTGATTCAAACCCAAGTGCACTAGTGGCTTAAACCACTAGTCGGCAGCTACTGACACAGAACAATCGGTAAAAACGACAGAGCGTCTTGGTTTACATGCTAACTGTCATGTGGCAGATCTTACACTCTACGTTCATGTAAGTTAAGACCGCTGTAGAAGACATAGTTAACCTCCAGAAGCAACTTTCACTAACAGTAGACACGTGTGATATAGCATTCAGACACTGGGATGCGTTTAAGAGTAGGGGATTTGTTTTTTGATAAATTGCGAGCTATTCGCGGCAGCTTCTATTTCAGATACTTTTCTAAAATCTCAGTCGTGTGGATCCCAAAATAATGTGCAACCAATATCCCCATGGCTCAGTGACATAAGGTTTGGCTAGTACAACATACTACTAGTGCCCATAGTCTCGGACCCTAATGAACCTGATAGAAAGGAAATGTTGATATCCTCACGTAGACTGGAGGTTGACATCAGTTTTATTCGCATATTTTTTGTACGTTTCTCACAATTTGGTTTTTGTAGTTAATGTGGTTATTCATTTCATTGCATTTGATGGTTATACGTTTCTTTTGTAGGCAGTTGCTCTATGTTTTTATGCCTCTGGTACGTAAACTCGAATTAAAATCTACTATCCAAATGTTCATCACATACATTCGACCGTTCGATAAAATAACTGGTATACCTGAGCAACGAAGGCTCCTCCTGTGTCGGTGCCATTTCACCTAAACGCACTGGTTGGCAACCGTGACGAAAGTGGTGCGGCCTTTGGCTCAGAAATTTTATCACTGCTTAGAACAAAAAGGTTCTATCCCATGCGGAAGATTGATATAAAACTCCCATCCAAAGAGAGGGAAGCAGGACTAAACCTTTAAACGTCGCTTAATGTCTCTTCTAACTATACTGCACAAGATTATGGGATCCGGCGTTGCCGATGCACGGGTTAGCCATCTTGGATTATGCGAACTTTTTGCTGCTGAGCAGCATGGCTTACGTCGGCGACGATTGTTCACAGCAAAATGAATGTTTGCTTAGAGATATTGGACCGCGTTTTCCAACGCTGGAGTAGACATTTACGTGATCTAACTGGAGATTTCAAAGGCAATCGATCGCCCAGATCGGGATTGGTGACGCTGTGGATCGCAAGATTTCACCTTCAGTGATAGCGGCCAAAATGTACAGTTCCTTATCTGAAAGTACACAAGCCGAGTATGGAGTGAACCAGGGCTCAAATCTAACGTCACGTTTATTGCAGATATTCATCAGTGACCTCGCACGTGCATTTGCTTTAAATTGCTTACTATTTCCTTATGACATCAAGCAACGTCATAGGATTCAGACAAACGTCAAAAACATTTTACCAGCTGAACATTATACAATACGTTAGTTGTTAACCCAAAATACACAGCATTCCAGAGTGAGTAAATGCGTGGTACACACTTTATGACACGGAACACCTATTCCTGCAAGCCAAGCACGCATACACCGCCAGGATCTTCCGTCGAACGCGAACTTAGCGTTCAGGACAAAGTGAGTTATTCCAGGCAATCCGAAAACGCCCCAAAGTCTACTGACTAAACTATTTGGCCGCGGAGACGCGTTAGGATGTATAGATACTTGGAGTTTCTGTCAGATGCACAGTTGTTTTTCTTACTCACTTTGGACATGCAGTTCAAGCCCGGCATCCATCATTTAAGACCGATTTCCCTAACTAGTCAACTCCTCGTTGGACCTGCAAATGCGTACGTACCATGCGTAATCGCCACCACATACAGGAGTTGGGTTGTTAGGTTGCATTCAGCAGAGCGATTGCGTGCTGCAGAGCATCATGGTAACAATCCGGGAGGTCACTTCTTGTGCTTGGCTGAACCACACAGATATCTTGTATATTACAAACCTCTCTTTGCTTTTCGATTTGCTTTTTTCTTTCTTTTTTCATATGCATCGCTTGGAACGCATCCTCCGAAAGAGCTGTTCCCACAGCAAAATACTCTAGTTAACTGGCGGCTTGATGATTTATTCCCTCCACCATATTACATTACGTGAAAGCAATGCTAATATCAACACCTGCTAAAGTCCCTGGATCAGCTCTCCTTAACCTGCTCTTGATGTCACTCAACGTTGGCTGCGGAACCACAGCCTTACAAACAAGGAAAACATTAATTCGTGCTGTTAGTATCAAACGTAACAGCTAAGCTATATACTAGCATTTTGCTAGCCACACGATATCAAAATGCTCTTTTTAAAGCAAAGGATTTTAACCCGCATAAACCGCTGTTCACTGTACGAAGTACTCAAATTGCATGATTTTAAAATGTTACATTTAGCCATTCGCATAATCATGACAGATGATGCCAAAACAACTAGGTCGTCCCTGAAGGGCCGTAAACACTCTGCCGATTGTATGTGATATTAACTTTTATGTTTACAGGTATTAGATATAATGCGTAACTTATGCTGGTAAAAAGAATTTCACCTTGCATGTCAGTGGCGTGGTATGATAAAGTCTTTAGTTGTTGTGGACCAGTATAACGCGCATCGTCTCTCTGTCTCAATTGGCAACGAAGAAAAATCCAAAAATACACACATTTATCATTTCGCTTTTTAATTTTCAGATATCCTGTCAATTACCCAACAATGGTACACTTTTACAACTTGGCGCTACTCATACTTCTGTCGCTCTCAATTTTTAGTAAGTTTCTGAACAGGCTGCCATTTTACTTTGTACACACAAACATATCGTCAGTAGGTTATCGATATCTCATACTGAAAGTTACCGGTTCCTATTCGAGATGCTGTTTGCTATATACTGTTCATACGGCTAGACCGTGCCTATAAATGAAAAGACAGATTGTTTTCGGACAGCTGGAAATACAGTTTCCGAAGATACTTAAACCAGCAGACTTTAACTCTAATGCTTTGCGACCCATACTAGCTGATTATAATATACTCAAACGAATTTGCCTACACTTAGGTAGGTAGTCGAATCAACCATTTGATCCAATGATGTAGGTCAGTAGTTGGTTGGGGTGTGCCATGCGGGTTACAACATTATAGACCGTATTTCTTCAAAAATTTACTCTACGCAGCGAATTAATCTATTCTTTTTTGATGCACTCACGTAAAACAGTAGTGCAACGATTTAAACAGCTTGTTTAGACATGGCTGGTTTACATAGAGGAGTCACAATACTTTTTCTCCCGTACGAACTTGCCACTTTCTCTGTCTTTGCTAGTGACCATTACGCTATGAGCTCAAGATTGCGTCACTAAAAGTTTACTCTCATGCAGATGACCATTATAGAAAGAAGGAAACACGCATTGCTTCTAACATTTCTCACGGTACATTTTCGAAAGAGTGCGGTTGAACTTAATTAGCTTCTTTGATTGCTGCATGGAGATGAGCAGTTTAATTAGATTCGTAACTCTCATTATACGCTTGTTTGCCACGTTGCATGGTAGTTCTTCTCAAGATTATTAACTAAAAAACGATTGTTCAAGCGGTAGTTGATGATGCTGAAATAAAGACGGCAAAAATACTGTAACCAAGTGGTCAGGTCAACTTCTCCAAACAGGCCAATGCGCAACAACCCAAAATACGTAAAATCAGATTAATCGCATATTAATTTTTGTCCCATAGTGAGAAGACAGTTAAAGGTAGCAACAAAGATCGACAGCTGATAGATGCACGCAGTTTGAATTTACCCCTCAGTACTGCCATTACTAAGCGAAATGTAAATTTATAGTTTACATTAACTGCGACCAGAAAAGCCGAAGCTGTAGACTGAATGATGGAAGTTCAGCTTCAACATCTAGGGAAGCATTAGGCTCATGGGGATTGTTTTCCAGCGTACAGTATCGGCTTCAGCCGACGTATTATGACTGCTTGGTTAAAGCAAAGAAGGTAAGAATTCGTTTGACGGATAATTACTTTGAACCATGTGCGAAGCTTCATCCAGTAAATTTGCCTCGTTGAGTTTATACCTCAAGCGTATCCGGTCGTACCAAATATGGGCAGTAAATATGTAGGTATATATGTAAATATCTATCTAAATGTACCGAGGAAACAATAAGAAACGAAGGCATCTAACTGATTTGTTCTTCTTACTCTGCTATTCAACTACATGCATTAAACAAGCCACTAGACGCATACGGTATTTTGACGGGGTCAGTTGACGCTGGACAAGCGGTTAATATTAGGTACTTAGATTTGTCGAAAATATTAGACGGTTTAGATCATCGGATTATCCTTTCCAAGCTCCAATACAACGGAATCAATAACCATCTCTTGAGATGCATCGCCAAGTTTCTCCTACAACAAAGGATATTGGTCCGTGTCCGGAGTTCCTTATTTGACCCCGTACCAGTAAAGTCTGCCGTGCACCATAGCTCAGATCAAGAACAGCGAACGTATTTGTTATTCGTCAATGGCATTGCATGGGAAATCGCTACAAATTGCTTTGTGTTTGCTGACAATAACAAGGTATGGAGTCGGATTTAGGCGGGTGCCAATCAGAGTTAACCTCTGTGTGAACTAGTTACGGTACCTCATTGGTCAACCCGAAAGCTGTTAGAGTTCAACGTGGACAGATGCATGGCACTTTCCGTACGGCACCAGAGCAGCTATTCCTGCAGTCTAGGAACACTAGCACTACAGCGTTCATCCATCGAACGTGAGTTTGGTGTGTCTGTTCAGTGTAACTTGGGTTGTTCCAAGCAACCCGCGAAGGCATCGACAAATGGTAATCAGGACATCGGCTTGCTACGAAGGACTTTCGGACAAATAGGCACCACCATTTTCAGACAGATCTTTAATGCGTATGTTCGTCCCCGTCGCGAATACACAATGCAAGCCTAGCAGCCATGGCAATAGAACAACATCAGCGTCGGACTTCCAAATACTTCATTGGAATGAGCCACCTTCCGTATGAGCAGAGGCTGAAAACTTCGGGAGTATTCAGCGGGCGGCATCGCCGACTACAATGCAACTTGATTATGACGTAACTGAATTTACACAATCCAAATCCTGTATGCCGCACTTTCCTGCAACTCAGCAGCTTTAGGGCCACTCCTTGAAATTAGTAGAACAGTGCAGCCGTCTGGATATAGAAATCCAGTTTCTATTCGTATGTGTCAATCATGGAACCCTCCTCCCAAAGCTGTTTTTTCTGCATCCACGCTAACCATGTCAAAAAGTTGGATAACGCACTCTGTCAGTTAGATTTTGTAACTTGACAAAACTGTCCATCCTAATCCCGGGAAATATTAGCTTTATTTTTCAGCCTATTGAAGCTATGAAAACACTCTGAGTGTAGTGCTACTGCTTTCCAAATGATCAGTCCATACGTTTGATATTATAGCCACCAAATGAATTTTTCTTTAAAGATTTCGCCGACCCAACAGACCACACAACGGGACTTTTAAACCAGTGTTGCTTACCCTGTGTAAATTTAATCTTTATTGTTCAACTGTCTCCTAATCATATGATATAAAAACAGGCAATAATCAACTTTGCATCCGTCATCAAAAAACTATAAATTGACCTGTTATTTTCGATAATTATTGGTTTGGCCTCTGCGAGGTTTTTTGTTAAAACTTTAACATCGTGGAATATCATTACTTGCGCTAAATACTTCCTTAAAACTGCGGCAGTGTGGAAATCGAGTTCGAACCACAATCATCTGCATTTGGCACCTCCAGCTCAAAAGACAGCGAAAATGTTTGGTGCTTCCTACGGTCCAAACTGTAAAGGAATACGGACTGACAAGCATATAATCACGACCTGTGTGAATAGGATTGTGGATTTAAAGGCGGAGACGATGAGGTTGATAGTCTGTAATTCAAGTAGGCACGCAAAAAACACCATTGAGAGGATAGGCATATATGGATACTTGAAACAATTCGTTCCCGAGCAATCATTTGGCAAAGCATTTGACGCAGGAGTGACGCAGAAACATTTATCCTCATATTTTTATGTGGGTAGCGCAGACGTTTGAATGTATAGCTTCATGAAAGAAGCGCGGGTTTACTATTAAACTGACCAAACTGAACACACCTATATTTATGTCTTGTCATCTGTTCCCGACCCGCTACCACGGCAAAGCCAAGGATCACAAGTACGTCTTTCTGAATACACAGTTGGGCCAACTGGTTTGTTGACCACGGCCTCAGCATATTGTAAATTTAGGGACTCATTGATGTATAAATAACCCTGAACGCACGCACCGGCTCCGCGCAGGGGTTTTAAGCTAATATCATCCGTTACCATCATCAATCCTCAGTGAAGAAGAGGGAATAATGTTTGCTGTAAGAGTAGTGTTTTGTAGGAGCTACAAAGCAAACTCTTTCAGTTAAACGCACCGCAATCAAGCAGTCCAGGAATTCATGAACGCTACCGAACTGCAGTCCACAAAACGATAGTCTTGCGGCAGATCACAATCCAATTTTCTTTTGATAACTTTTGTCAGCTCACTTGATACGTGAATCTAACGAACCTATTCCCTTTAAATATGGAGTAGCAGGCATTAGTGGTTGTATGCATTAAGGAGAAACAAAAGCAACGCTTATGCTTCAATCAGAAGGAGTAGTATTTCAAATATGGTTTCCTATATGACATTATAAAAGAAAGAGTAACGCTACACTTGAGAAGATACCAGTATTTTTCTCCAGATATAGCAGAATGCCTATCAGTGTCCACTCCATTCCTTAGATAAATCCAGGTTTTAGTATGTTTGTATGGGCGTCAATACATTGAAAACCCGCGCATGTCAAATATAACCCAAATGTATGCGGCCGCACCAAATCGATCCGTAAGGGATGTAATTGGACTGTGTTCTAGTGAAATCAACAACGCATTTATTTGTGATTGGATTCAAGTATAGGCAATAACAGAAAGATGAAAATATTATTCAAAAAGTAGTCATGGGGGCAGAAATCCTAGAGAACTGATTAAACGTCCCCTTTAAAACATAAAGCTCGCCGCGTCCTATAACAAAAACTCCCCTAACAGTGTAAAATATGGGAATAGACATAAGTTCACGGTTCGTCTATGCACTGCCTGCAGATTGACAATAGTATTAACGTTTGCTTCATTGGATTCTGGACCCAGATGGAAACAGAAATGTTAACATTGTAAACTTTGATTGTTACTTCAAATTCAAAACCTTAATTGCTTAACAACTTCGCTGTAACTGCACAATGCTTTTCCTAATTTGAAAACCTTTGCATCTTAGAGCTTTTCACATAACAACCACATGCCACAAGTCGATATCCTGATTTTATGCACAGCCATACTGCTATCACCGATTTGAGAAATCATTATACGTCAGTTTCTTTCTTCTGGGATTCACTAGCATTGCGCGTTCAGCTCGGCCCTTGTGGCGCTGGTAGTTGCAAGTTTCCTCTTACAATATTGCAACATAAGTCAGAATGTGCATGAAACCAATAAGACTTATTCTTGTAAAACATTTGTTTTAGGGAGCAACCCTGTTTTCTACAAGTAGCATCCTCTAGGTCATTCGAGATTAAGCGGTGCCATATCATATCTAGTAATTAAATCAAGTCTGTCGACACCCTGCTCTTGACCAACTTTGCACATTCTAGTCCCGTTGGTCAAATGAGATACGAAATATTGAGCATTTCCGGAAGTAAACATGCTTTATCACATGTTTTATGTCTTTCTTAACGGGTTTCGATTTCATGCAATTATTGTATCGTTTGACCCTGCATGACGTTTCCTTAAAGCCAAAAACTAGTATCTTTGGGTAGCTGTATTAAGCGCGCTGTCTTAAGTGTATCAAATAAAAGGAATAATTAGGGATTAATGTTAACGAAAAATTGAGTACAAGAAGCTAACATTTCTGTATGGTAGATGTCTTCAATTCAGAAAACAACCCTAATCTAATGAACCCAAATCAATGACAACAATATGCTTAACCATACCTTTATATCATAAATACTGACAAAAAGTCGCCTTCTTATTTCCCGAAACTAAACGACTATTAACCCTTTGAACATTGCGTGCACTTGTATCCATTTTGTGCGCTGCTTTTCAATAATAGCTGATTACTGTTCAGTACCAGATTACGTGCCAACTATAAAAGAACATCCGCATATGTTGATATAAAGCTTGCTCTGGCAACCTCACAGTCTAATTCAGTGGTTCACGCATTTCTTGGGACTTACCACTATAAGCACTTACTCCCGAAGTTTAATTTTAATAGCCAGTTACCTACTAACTACCGCAATTTGGTATGCATTACTGGAAAGACAAATAACCAGTGGCTTTCGATCCTACAAATGGTGACCTAACATGGTATTAGACATTTTCTTTTAAATCAAGGATTGTTTCACGTTAGTGAGATAGTTCATATTGATTAGCTTTCTCAAATTCTCTTAAATTTGCTGCGGTTTCGGCTAATGCACATCGTAACTCGCGCACCAATTTAATTTACTTTTCTGCTTTCCTTATCACTGTCATCATTGTCGAAAATCCACTGCTACACTTATAACTTCTGGAGAATGAGAACATTATACTTAATACCCGCCACCTATCTTTAACCAACATCTTGCTTCTACCCTGTCGGCTGGTATATTCTCCCACCTTAGTGTTCAACCAACCATTATTTAAACCGGCCAAAGCTTGGCTACCTCAGAAAAAAACTACGATCTACAATCGTACCGATAAACGCGGTATGTAGCTGCCCTGCTATGCATCCTTGTATTCGCATATTATGTAATACACTTTGTCACTGAAAGATATCCAATTTACTGACCATTCCATAATGACCAGTTACTGATGGCTAGTCGATGAGGATTATGTAGGTAATCACTTATGCTTTTGTTATTGATTTTGTTTGGTGAAATGTAGATGATCCAATCTTTGTAGCACTATTTACCCTCATAAAGTATAAATTTACCTCCTTGGGAGTAATGAACCATATGCTGGGAACCACTGATCTAGTTGCAAGGAGTACTGCTAGAAGCATGTAAACACTAATCTAGAATGGAAGTGAGCTAAGACAAACTGAGGTGTCCGGACAAATGCAACGTAAACCGTTGTATAATGCATTCAGTCAGCTAAAGGAATCTAGTGCGCAACATACTTTATGAACCGCTTAGTGATATAACCTGTCTACTAGTGGCGCAAGCAGTTAGGGGTCTAAATGTCTATTTCTGATCTTGGGAAGAAGACAGCAGTTGGAGTCTCAATAAAAACATAGGGTATTTTGGTACATTTACGTGTTGGTTTGTCTGGCTTGAAAGCTAATACGATGAACTCTCGCTTTAATAACATTGAAAACCCAACTTGTTAGTAGTCAAGACATTTGCCCTGGCGGCTTTTACATGCTACATCTCTGGCAACAATGTTGTTCTTGAAGTCGTGACTTTGGAGACCAGAACTCTCGTCTGCAGCGTTCGTAATTGCTATTGCTGTGATGAGTGATCCCCACTATATTGCAAACGGTTCGCCGTTCACTTCGGTTTACCGGCGTCTTCCGTGGCCTAGTAGCATACGCCGCTGATGAATAGCGAAAGCGTAAGTGTTCACTGGTTGCGTTCCTGATAAAGCCTAGAGCACACGCAATATTATCGAGCCCCAATTATTCTAAATGGCCGTCTGATGTTGCAGATTGCAAAGCAGGTAAACCCCACCCCGCATTTGAACAGTCCGATGTTCGGTCATATGAATGCCATGGTGTCTGTTTTGTTTGCTACTACGATTAATTCAAGGAAATTTGCATAAGGGAGTTCAGCACGATAGATACATGATTTTATCCCCTTCGTTATCTAGCATGACACGTGATGATCTCTAAACAAGCCAACGGGATACTGCAATTTTATATCCACAAAAACATCCAGTTTTTATTGAATGTTCTTTTTTTAACTTAGTGGCGATTTGTTTAATACATACTGCAGCAGATCGTCAAGCGGATGTGTTTGCTATTTTGATCTTACTCATTAACTTGTTCTCGGTAATATGTTTTATATGAAACGTCTACTTGACAAATTGTAGACAAACCAATATCTGTGGTCTCACAACAAGACGATGAAGATTATGAAGAAGAAGAAGAAGAAGAAGAACTGCAAGAGGAAATCGATGAGGAGGATGAACTAGAGAAACGAGATCACATACCAGAAAGTCTTTACAGAAATGGCCCTGAATATGATGCCGGTATAGATGAATTTGTGGATTTGGTCTAAAGCTTTCTGTGTTATAAGCTATCCATCTTCAACAATCGGTACATCACATTCTCACAGTTCTTTTTAAATCACTTAACTCGAAATAAATCTGGTACAGCTATACGCAAATTCTATTGAGACATAGTTTTCATGACGTTAAATGTTATCATGCTCATCGGTTGTATGGACGAGATTTGGAAGCTTCAGTAGATTGAACAATCGTAATGAACCTATTAGGTAGTATATTGAAACACCTTTGAATTGTTGTGCTCTCCACTTATGGCAAAATTCATCAGCAATTGACCAAATTGATTGCCTCGATATTGAGTGCAACAGCGCGGGTCAGTCTGGTGGATTTTTAAGGCGATGTTTAAAGGCAATCTTCGCTAATCGTGTGCTGGATAAATCTATACCTCTGTAAACTGACAATTAGTGGTTATATATTAGGAGCTATTAGGCTAACATCTTTACGGTAGCGGACAGCAATCAACGTAAAAAATTCCATATAAGACGAGGTATGTCAAGAATAACGGTCCGGTAAAATTTCTTTTACAAAATTAATGGTACTGATAAGATGCTGAACGTCAACCCTAGTCACCTTAACACAAACCATATGCATCCGGGTAGGTAAATTATCAGCATGCTGCAATATCACTGAGAATAGTAAACTATTTGAAATTACTCTTTAGAAAAACTTTAATCATACAACAGATGTCTAATCATATTACTAGAGAAGTAGTTTATCATCATACCGTGAGTTTTGGTTGGATTAGCTAACAAGCGGGACAAGTACGGTAGAACAGAAGTGCTGCTAGATGCAGTACGAAAATATATGATCTTAAATTGGCAGCGGAAGGGAGAAATATATATTGCTTTCGGTCGGTCACAAAGTAGTAGATGAAGAAGATCGTTCAGAATTTTGAAGAAAAGCTGATTCATGCGTCTTGATGCTTGCTAACATTAAAATCCAGAAGAGACTCAGTAGGAAATCCACTGCATCTGGAAATAAGCATCATAAACCGCAAAATCAAATTGTTGCCTTTATCGAGTAACCAAAGCAAGCTAACAGAGAGCAGTAGAGCTAATGTGGCGGTATGCATGCAGTCACAGGTATGAGAATTAAATCACAAGGAACTGCAAACATTTTATTTTAATGAGTGTAAATAACAAACGTCTAACATTATAAAACATTCCCGCAATGCAAATAGACCAAGGTTGGTTTCGGGACTAACAGCCCTGCATTTGTAGCGCTTGAAAATGTGTGTGAACTAGTCACTTACTGCCAGTGAAGAAGTCGTGTGCAAAGCAACTCATAGCTTTTTATTTTGGTAAAACAAAAGTGTTACGTCACCGCGACTAAAAGTGTTCATTATCAAGCATCGGACAATGACCAAATCAAAAAGGTTTATTTGCAGTTTGGAAAAGTAGACGTCCAAACGATTGGACAAATACATCCCAAAAATCATCGTCAGCGTACTTGTATCAAAGTAAGGTTGATTGTATGTAGAGCATAAAAGCATACGACTACGATATTTCTGCACGAACTGGGCTAGAACTACCACAAAAGATATAAATAACCAAAGTTGCACAATACGGTGAAAAAATTTCGAAAGAACTGATGTTACCTTTTAACTTCGAATGTTCACATGTTAAAGATCGTCCGATATCAAAAGTCCGGCTAGTTATATCGCATAACATTTTATACTGCATTGCAGGTGAGGTGGTCTGCGCATGGTTCCCTTCACGCCTGCCATCGTTTGGTAAGCCAAATGTTACTGGAGGGAGATGGAATTATCTATTTTGCCGTATAGACTAATAGTATATATTCTGGCTGCTGAGGTACTATAATATGGGCAATTCCAGCTTCAACCAAATATCGGGTACATTACCCTGCTCGGCTGCGCAGCAGCGCAATGAAAGTAGTATCGAGTGCCTTGTTGTCTCTTCTGATTGATCTGAACCACGAAAATACGCTAGAGGCGCCGCAGCGCCTGTGGCATAGCAAGTACTTTTTCTCCCCAGACCGTTGGTGAAATTTTTGCCTCGAATGATGGCAAAATTGGCATGTGAAGCTCATTCAATCGGCCTAAAGCAACGTGCACAATGCTTTTCGAAGAAAAGAGCGATAATTTGGGACTCCGAGTTAAACTGGCCGAAAGTGGACAATGAAAAAATAAGGGGAATGCTGGAAAAAACGCTCCCACACTTTGGACGCCATGTTCAACTGTATCCTTGGTCATGCAGTATAACATTTAAACCTTCAACCCTTAACGGCTAGAAACTGGATATTTTGCCTTGTATATTTAGTAGCAAAAAACCGATGCTACTAATCTTCTGCTCCTGTCAACTACCCCCAGGATTGGACCTCCTTCACGCCTCCAAATGGTACTATTCGCTTCAGCCCATATGCCGGATACCTGGCCACGATACGCGAATGGTCAGGTGCCTTCCATTGGCTACAGTATTGGCAATAACTATTCGGCCTCAAACACCAGTATGTACTCAGAATTAATGCGTAAAAGCTATTCGATTGCTTGTCCATAACCCCACCATGTTTCTCGATGGTGCACACGCAATGGTCATTGATATGACCATGAGTAAACTAGCCATTTAGCAGTATTAATAAAACACATTAATCCCTTTATCCAACGTATTTGATTAGTACATTGTTTACCCTACCCAATGTAGTATACTAGCCTGAAATGTAGACATTAAAAATAAGCTCTATCCCTAAATCTTACTATGGAATTCATCGTGTTTGACACTGTCGTTAGTATATTCACCAAGTTCAGCAATTTACTAAAATATACCCCATTGTTCAAAACTGCAGTGTTGTTGATTCTAACCAATAATGGTTCAAACCAATATTGGTTCCCTCTACGTTGTGATACAGCATTCTTCAAGCCGTTATTCCTTGCAACCGTACTTTTAGCCCAGTGGCTTGTCACTCCGCTCAACCTTTCCACGGAAAATTAGGTGCAGTAGCAGTTTTACTGACTGCACTTACATGACTCCTTTCTGTTATTGCGCCATAAAGGCTTTCAATTATCCAAGTCCGTCGGTGGCTCCGAATGTTGTTCTAATTCTTATAATGAATATTATCAAGTGTGAAGAGCCAGCCACGTCTGTTTACACATCCAAGGTTATGGGAATTGTATGAATTTCTGTTGTTTCCCAAGATAGCTGTGTCAATAACCCAAAATAATATCCACCAAACGACTCGCAAAAGCACCATGGAAGTCGTTAACAGATTTAAGTGAGAACTTTTCTGGACAAATCAGTCTGCTAACAGCTAGCAAAAACCACTACAATTGCTCTCCATCTGAGAAATATGTGCATATCTTGCCAAGCATGCTTGTAGCACGAGAGGTTCATTTATATGGCTGCCACATGCTTTTTAATCTTTTGCTGAATATTTGCTTCTCTACACAAGCTTGCACCTGCGACCGCCACTTTTTATCTCTACGTCTATTCTTGAATTTGTCGTACATAAATCTGTGTTCTGTATCGTGACATCTACTCATATTATATTCCATCAGAAAGCGATAGTTTCGTTAAATTTTAAGAAGAAACAAACATGTAATCATCTTAACTGATATGTTTTGCGTTTACAAGCCCCTTTTTAATGTTTTAGTAAAGATTGCTTCTCGCCACAATAATTCCACACACTCAAGGAGTTCCCTGCCTCTTTGGTACAATTTAAACGATTATTAACGACAAATAAACTGTTTCCCAAGACCTATTCATCAGACCTGTTCCATAAGAAAGACGACGGTTACGCTACAAATCAAGCAAAGTACCTTGTCGTAAAGTATAACGAAGAAGTAAACCTTTCTTTATTTTACTTAAAATGTCCAGCATTTGCAAGTCCCTTTGCAATGTTAGGTCAATACTGCTATTGGCCACCACAGTTCCACACACGCAAACCGCTTTGGAATGAAGCTGTGCGTTTAATTTACAATTGGAAACGTGCATACACGACAAATACACTGTAAATGAGGCACCAGTGTCTGCTTGACTGCAAACTAGGTAACAGTCCTTGGAGAGATATCGAGTTTAATGAAGAAAAAGGAACGATGTTAACAACACTATTTTCCACTTTAAATTACGAGGTTGGCTGTAAGTCCGCGGGCCTTATGGAATGTTTCTGCAGGCCAGAATGGGCGCATGAGTCGTTGGTCCAGCATCACTGAGCCAAGATTATTCCAACCCTGGAAGTCCGGTACGAATCCATGGATTACTGGCCAGTAGAGGATAGTACCCAATAACAATACGACTACTCAGATTTTAAGGGACAGAAAGAGACCAGGTGGACAAAATGTGCCTACGCAAAAAGGATAGCTTTTTTATGCAATTTAACGAGTAATGCTGTTCCTTATGTTTTAGTTCTCATAATATTTTACGAAGTAAATTTTTTAATTTAATTTGCGCACAAGAAGAATGACGTACTGCTTGATTAATAAAATACGTTTATAGCTGAAACTATAAAAACGTTTGAGTCACTCTCAGGCCGGTTTGTGCCTGATATGGCTATTTTGCAGCATCCGAAATGAATATATGATGGGTATTATAACCAACATAAATATATCCAGCTAATTTGACATTCACATTAGGAACAGCTAAACATTATATTGGATTAGTTAAAAATTCGGATAAAATGGGTGAAGAAACAACCTGTCATGAGGGATACCATCTTATTTGCCGGTTGAATTAGATGAAGAACCTGCATAGCGTAGGCCGAGAGTCATCCCTCTTAGACTCTTGTTTGTGGGCTCTCTCACTGAGTGATCATTTAGACAGTCAAACTATAAAAATCTAACCCCATCTTCATATGGTGCTATGGTGACTTTTTACACCCATTTCAATATGTAACCTGCACCAGCACTGTGCGGCTTGCATTGGTCAGTTATCCGAGCCTCGATCAGCCAAAGCTCTATCGCGACCATTGCTATATTTTGTTCGGGACTCTCATTAGTTTTTTGATTGTCTAAAGTGCGCACATTTTAGCCCCACACTTTGAG